GAACACCAACGCATAATTCATTCAGACTTACCGGTAGCATGGTAAACAAGAGAGACGGAAAAAAGGTCTGACTTCCAACATTTGAAGCGATCATAAAGTCCGTACGGTCTGTGTCCGTTCCTGCATTGTTTATATTCCTTAAGTCTGTAAGGGTCCACCGATCAAAAGAATCAATGGGTTTCATTAAATTAATCCGAGTTGTGAATAATATCATGTGAACTCCGTTGCTCACTGTCTGTTTACTGTCTGTATGCTGGCTGTCGTAAATCTTCCACTGCCGTAAAACGACGTTCACGTTCAAGCGTCATGGCGGCAACACCGAGAAAAAAGTACGACCTGCGAGACATGCGGCTCTCTCGCTCTCTCTCTCTGTGCACGAGGTTGGCCAAGATGCGCTGTCTCTCAGAGCTAGATTAAGTGAATGATTAGTAATTCATATGTTGTTTGATATCCTAATTTTTATTTTATTTACAAATAAGATTGATACTGCTTTAAATAAACAATAGTATTTCCCATATTTGGTGAGCAAGAATTTTGTGCTAAATTAATTAAACGCCTGTCCCTAATAGACGCAGGTCCCCAATAAAGGCAGGGTGCTTTCAGTGATTTAAGCAAATAAACACCCGGGCTATTATTAGAAGTTTTACGGTACTTATGTTTTATGGTAGCCCTGTAACCTTGTTATTTGGGAGTAAAATATGTTCTGAAAATAAAGGAAGACATTCAAAAATTCAGTTTGCATGATTTTCAGTCAGTACAACATTTTATCATCTCAGAAACTTAAAAAAAAAACATATATCGATATCGGTAAATATCGGTTATCGGCCATAACAGCAAAATTAATATCGGTATCGGACACAATTTTCATATCGGTGCATCCCTAGTTAAAAGGTTAAAAAAAAGTTATACATTTCAAGATACTTGGGACATTAGCATACTACATCTAACTACAGTTGATATTAACACTGTACTGTACACAGAGAAGGAGAACACAAAAGGGCATGGGAGAGATTGAGATAGAGAGAGTGCTAGATAAATGGAGTGAATGTGTGAGTGAGTGATAGTCCCGGGGGATGCCGTTTCTCACCTTGTTGCTCTCCTCTCTCTCCTCCTCCACATCTTCTCTCTGTTCCTGCTCTTCCCTCTCCTCCGTCTCCTCCCTCTGTTCTCCCTCTTCCCTCTCCTCTCTCTCTTCTCCTCCGTCAGTCTTGATCTCCGTCTCATCTTTCATCTCCTCGCTCTTACACACACTGCGGAGGGGGAGAAGCGGAGAAGAGGAAAAGAGGAGGAGGAGAAGAAAACAGAAGGAAAAGCGTAGGAGAGAAAAGGAGAGTAGAGGAGAGGAGAGCATTAACACAGTTTACAGTGTACCTGCGTGCTTGTGTGTGTGTGTATAACATGTATGTGTGTGGGTAACAGGTGTGTGTGTATTTTCTCTACCTGTCTGCAGCCTCGGCCCCTCCATCCCCGGCAATGTGTTCTGCGGACAGTGCCATAGCGTCAGGCATGCCCACCCTTTCCAGGAAGCACAGCTCAGGGTCCGCACGCATAGCGATGTAGCGCTCATAGCCTGGAGCACACACACACAAGCCATAATTACGGTGGTTGTTTCAAAACTGTTTTTGTGTCCAAACTGCTGTAATTGTCATAGTTCCCATGGTTGTATGTCTAAACCATTGTAATCGCCATAGTTATCGTATTTGTGTTGAAACCATGAAGATGCCATAGTTAAAGTGGTTGTGTGCCTAGACCGGTGTAGTCATTACAGTTACCATGTTTGTGTACTCCTATAAGGAGGGACTTGTCTGCGTCCTTGTCCCACCAGCCAGCTGGGATCTCGATGTAGTCGATGTCCGGCAGAGCCACCTCCAGCTTACTGAAAACACAACACAACAACACATGATTAATACACAGCATCTAGAACAGGTGTGTTGTGTACCTGTTCTACCAGGTATGTATCTAGAACAGGTATGTTGTGTACCTGTTCTTCCAGCTATGTATCTAGAACAGGTATGTTGTGTATTTTGTTCTACCGGGTATGTATCTAGAAGAGGTGTGTTGTGAACTTTGTTCTACCAGGTGTGTTATCTAGAACAGGTGTGTTTCATACCTGGCAGGGATTCCTTCCAGAGCCTGATTGGCTGCTTCTCCAAGCACCTCCACTTTCAGGTAGTACAACATCCTTACCCTCAGCAGAACCCTGGGAGGAGAGGGAGGAAGGAAGGAAGGCTTAGTCTCTCTCTGTCGCCATTTTGGACATGTTATGCTAGTTTAGTCTAAATATTAGGTTCTAAAATTGATACCTAGTTTAAGTTGTGTAATGAGGTCTTAGCAGTACTGACTTGTTGCAGTGCTGTTTGAGGTGCTTCTTGTAGCTGTCGTCCTGAAGGACCACATCAGGGTTGCAGTGGACCAGCCAATCAGCACTCTTCACCTCGGGGGCGTTCAGCTGGTTCTTCAGCTTCTTACCCTTCCGACCGCGAGGGACCGGCACCGACAGACCTAACACACACACAGAATTTAAGGATGCATGATATATTGGCATAGTCATTTTTTAATACATCGGTAGCGGTCCGATGAGCAAAGCTGCTCCGATGTGAACAACCAATAATTATATATGTCTAGCTGCCCCTAACCAGAGTGGTTCATCAGGGCCTGGTCCTGGCCCTCCTTGCTGGGGGTGATCAGGTCCCAGATGAAGCTCTTGATCTTGTCGTCTCCTTTGTAGTGTCTCAGGCAGTACACCAGCAGAGCCCTATAACACACAAACACGATCAGTACATCACACAATATAGTCTCTCTGTAGTGTGTCAGGCAGTACACAAGCAGAGCCCTACAAACAAAATACCTGACCATCAACAACCATATTATGGGCCCTATCTTGCACTCAGCGCAATTGACTTTGTTCACTGGCGCTTGCGGAATTCCTATTTTGCACCCGACGCACATTGGAATTTTCCGACGCAAGGCGCAAGTCCTTCACTTGGGGAATGAAGTTGCGCTCCGGGGGCAGTTCAGCGAAAACAGGAGGCGTGTCCCGGCGCTAACGTTCCCTGGTGCTATTCTGCACTTTCACAAAACAATAGCGCCACAGACCAGAAAAAACCTAGTTTAAAGTCAGTGGCGCTTATTCAGACCCTATTTTAAGGGCGCTTGGCCATAATCAGGGTGAGGGAATGCGCGATTGTTGACCGGGGGGGGGGGGGGGGGGGGGGGGGGAATGCGTGATTGTTGACGGGGGGCCGGCTCAAAAATAATAGTACACCAAATAAAAAAATATAAAATAAAATAAAAAAAATAATTACGGCCGGCCGTTGGGGAAATCTCCCGAACCTCCCGACGGCCAGCCGTCCCGATGGCCATAGTGTAGTGTGTGTAACGTGCATACACTTTGCTTCTCTCATCTACAAGGAAGCAGTTCCCATTTTTACACATGTGAACAAATAGGCGTAAATCTGGCCTACACAGTTACCCAAAAATATTCAGGCTAATAGTAATGACGGATCAAATTAACCTGTTTGACCAATAGTCGCAAGACACATATGACACCTTTTATTATGCCATCAACAGCGCGTGAAATGTTTTATAATCGGAAACACAGAAACACGAAGCCGTGTAACTGAAAGATATTCGGCAGACTGAAAATGCGCTTCAGCTTATTTGACAGAAGAGCTCATCTATAAGCAGTGCTTGAAGTGGGCCGGCACTTTTTCTTGCGTACTGGCACTTGTCACAGGCTGCCCCCCCACCCCCTCGTCGGTCGTAGGTCCGGGGTGGGTTATGATCGGCCCCCCCCCCCGGTCGACAATCGCCCCCCCCCCCCCCCCCCCCCCCCCCGTCGTACGCAGTACTGGCACTTATTTGTTTCCACTTCAAGCGCTGTCTATAAGCAAAGTAATCTCGGTCTACATTGCAAATATATCACCATGCATTCATAACCTCGTGATTCAGTGAGAGTGAGGCCAAAACATCGGAAAGTATGTCTTTGTGACATTTCTTCATTTACATTTTGTCAACGGAAAATGAAAAGCTGAAAAGATTTAAACAGAATAACTAATTATTTTTCCCTCTGATGGCCACGGCGGGATTGGACACGTCTGGTCAGTATTGGCGATGCGCGATGTGCTCGCCATGGAACAAGCGCGCCTGCATTTAAAGGGAATGTGAGCCGACGCTCTGATTGGTTTATTGCACGTTACCCCCAAACCACACCTATGACTAATGTCGCTGCTTCAGACCAACCCATTTTAGATTTGCGCTGGGCGCGAGCGTCATTTATCCCGCCAGTATAATAGCAACAGCACCCAAGATCCGCCCACAAAGCCACTTGCGCTTTGCGGTTCATACTTGCGTTTCAGACCGGCAAAATAGGGCCCTATGAATGTATACAACCTCACCTCAATATGACACACACACACACCAATATTCATATACCAATATATATATGTACTGATATATATATATATATATATATATATATATATATATATATATATATATATACATATACATATATATATATATATATATATATATATATATACATATCAGTACATCGATTGTTGTTGTTGATTGTTGTGGGCAGTAATGACACCGCGAATACGGACGTTTATCATCTTTTTTTTAAATATATATTTTTTAAGAGGCCTCTGATTGGCTGAGGCCCCGGGCTGAAGCCCAGGTAAGCCCGTGCATTAAGGCGCCACTGCCCAGACCTATGAGGGGTCGCCGGGCAGAGGACGCAGCCATTCCGCAGTGCAGCTGTTCCGCGGCGCTTACCTTCCTTGGTGGAAATCCGGTATAGACCCAGCTCCCAACCCAACTTTGAGAATAGATTAACGGTGATAATTGTTTTATCGCACGATAAGAGTCTCGCGTTATCGCAGCGCGTTAACGCCGATAACGGCCCACCACTAATATATACATATATACATATATATACACACAAACAATTTGGTGGAAGCTTTTATCCAAAGCAGTGCTTACATTTTTAGCATCGGTGGTCCCAGTGGGAATCAAATCCCTAACCCAGGCATCGTTAATGCCATGCTCTACCAGTTGAGCTAGTCAAGACCATCAAACAGCAACAACTTCAGTATTACACACACACATGCACACACACCAAACATCAACAACCTTAGTATCACACAAACCACACACACCAACAGCCTCAGTATTACGCAGGTCTCTCATCTTACCTGCAGACAGCCTCCATGTCGTTCTCTGTCAGGTGCCACTTAAACCGACCGTGGTTCAAGATGTCCTTCCACCTGCCCCAACTGGGGGGGGGGGAGGGGGAGAGAGAGCGGGGGGAGAGAGAAATACATGGAGAAAAAGACATATATTCATATACTAGCTGTGCGCAGTGAGCTGCATTTATCACTGTTCAATCAAAACATTGTACATTTGGATTCTCTTCCTACCTCAAATCAAGTTTTTGGACCTTTTTTTTTCTCATTTGTGAGAAGTACTCCATAAACCTCCATATACCTACAAGAGCAGTACAAAGTAGCTACAGCATTTAAGTGTTTGGGTTGTTATGGGCTGTGAGCAGAAGTGCCTCTGATAGACACCTGTGTCTATATATTGCGACTGTGTTGCAGGTGGTTGTCAAGGCAACAATTGAGGCGAGATGCGATTCAACAAGATCATACGCCACCAGAGGAACCACAAAACACCCAGTACAGCTCAGACCGTCACCAACGATACACAACACTGCCTTTACTAGTTAAGTAGTTCTTAGCCTAGCTCTTAGCTTAGTTCTCTTAGCCTAGCTTTTAGCTTGGCATTTAGCCTAGCTTAGTCCAACTCTTAGCCTAGCATTTAGCCTAGCTCAGTCTTACTCTTAGCCTAGCTTTTCGCTAGGTCAGTCTAGCTGCCTAGCACTTTTTGAATGAATCTCAGATCTCGGTTAAGGCAAATGAACCTCTGGGGTCATGGGGGTCAAGGTGTGCCTACCCAAAGATGAGCAGGTTCTTTTCAACCCGGAAGCACTCTGCGCGGAGGTAGCGCCTGGCCCGTTCGCCCAGCCGGCGCGAGCGACAGGGGCGTTCTTCCGAGTCGCTGTCCAGCTCAGAGAACTCCATCAGCTCATCGTCCTCAAACGAGTTGTAGTGACGGGTCTGCTTCCTCACCCGAGGGGTGTCAATGACCAGAGACTCCTGGGAGGGCGAGGGGGGGGGGGGGGGGGGTGAGAGAGAGGTGAGGGTGGGGTGGGAAGGAGAGAGGGGGATAGAGAAAGACAAAAAAAGCAAGATGGTGTGGGAGAGGGAGAGAGAGAGAGAGAGAGATGGAGTGAAAGCGAGGAGAGAAACAAGAGAGATTGAGAGACAGGGAGAGATATATCAAATATATAGTTCTAAAACACATACACAATATATACAACATGGGAGTAATGTATAATCAAATAAAATACAGATGCAAATAAAAGCTATTTTATTTGAGAGAGGGAGGGGAACACACAGCAAGACGAGAAGAGACGGAAGAGAAGAGGAAGCGAAGAGAGTAAAGTATTCTCTCCTACCTTCTCTGATTTGGAGTCTATCTCCAACTCGGCAATCTTGGCCCACTTCTGCCAGAAGTTGGGGTCGTCCAGAGAGATGTCGGTCCTATTCCCGGACGACACAAAACTGGCCTGTAGGCATGTGGGTAGAGCAGAGAGAGAGCAGACAACTTGTTATCAGAGTGCATGTTACTTCTGTTATCTTACGTCTGACATATTTCCAAGTAAAACAGGTAAATAGAACATAACATCGGAGGAATGTGATTGGTCTTCTCGGATTTCATCACAGTAAAGTGACAAAACGCTAGTCAGCCGTGTTCATATGAGGCTGGTAGTTAAGAGTGAAAAAACGCGAAAAAAACATCAACACTGTTTCCGACAAATATTTGACCACCGTCAGTATCCCAAATCGGCAATAGTCTTTTAGTAACTTTTCTGTGACTTGTTCCGCAGAAACCGAGTTGATTTTGCAGACCGCCATCATTTCACAACACGCGTTGTGAGATTTAGACCAGAAGACAGATTTAAACCCCGCTGCAAAGTATGTTTAATGTCTGTTGCTAGCAAAGGCAGCAGTACGACAAATTTACTGCAGCACCTCAAACAGAGGCGTCCTGCACATTTTGAAATGTTGCACATTTTTCGAAGTTTTCGACCCCAGATATGTGCTACTTGCCTCAGCTATATAAAATGTGTTTTGGTGGAACATATACCGATTTAAATCGATTCCCCCCCCCCCCCCCCAATTAATATGCAGATGACAAAGAAATGATTCCAAAAAATGTACTTGTAATAGTTTCTTTGTCATCTGCATATTAATTGGGGGAGGGGGGGGGGGGGAATCGATTTAAATCGTAAATCGAATTTTTTGTGAAAAAAATCAGGGATTTTTTTTTAGACCATATCGCCCAGCCCTAGTATGAATCTGTACTTTCTTATACTAGAAAATAGCAGAGGGGTGACATATCCCTTTTAGGGAGGCGGTAGTTAAGAGGCTGGTGGTTCAGACTACGGTAGTAATTAAGGTGTGTTCGTTAACGGTACCTTGGCGAAGGTGGAGCCCTTGCCCTCAGACTCTATGGTGATGGTCTGGGTTCTCCTTTGGAGGATCTGGTCGATGTCTTCCTCGCAGAACTTGGAGCCCTCGTCTTCCTCGTCCATCAGAGCACCGTACGCACCCTTCCTCAGCAGGTCCTCCACTTCGAGTTTTGACAACTGCTGCATCTTGATAAACACATTGAGGTTGATATACACGTAGACTGACCATAGACTGCAGAAAAATATGGATGTAGCGACCGTGACTAGATTTCACGTTACAGGCGCCGCCACTGCTTGAGATGTTTTGCGCCCAGCAGCAAAAAATTAGCCATATTTGGCACATTGAGGGCTGCCTCACAGTAGTCTATGGGCAAAAATCATTAATATTCAAACCTTAATAATTGTTAATTAAATAAAACTGTCAAACGGGGCCGCTCAAAATAAAGATGGATATTTACTAGTCACTGAGATCCAAATCGAACAAAGAAAAAATGTATTTGCTTTGTATTGCGAGAATTAAATCACATTTTTCCCATTGACTTGGTGACAGAATGGTGGCAGGTCTTTTTGCATCCAACTACTACGAGCCACCTATAGGCCATTAGAGAAACTACATGTTAGTCGCTTCAGACAGAGCCTCACAAACAGGCGCTCATGGCTGCTGCTTGATAGTAACACATACACAGTCAATATACACACATGGTTAATATGCGCACACACACACACACACACATATATATAATATATAATACAAAATATAATATAATGTAATATAATATAATACATAAATATAATATAAAATATTATTACTCGATTCTGATTGCTCAATTACAGAATTCTGCTATTGCTATCGACACTATTTCCAACCGTAGAATCAAACAGACCATTTTTTTAAATCAATATAATCTTTTTTTGTTGTTACATTTTGTGTCAAATTATTGACTTCTTTAGTAAGTAGCTGTGTAATAAGCGGAACTATGTACAGCAAGCCGTTCATTATTGCAAATTATAATATAATATGATATGATGTACCCCATTGAGGCTGCCCTTGCGGTTGATGTCCTGTAGAACAGCCTTGTCCAGGCCCAGCTTCAGACTGGCCTTATCGAACATCTCCCTCTCATATGAGTTCCTGGTGATCAGCCGGTACACCTTCACCGCCTTCGACTGGCCAATCCGGTGGCAGCGCGCCTGGGCCTGGGGGGAAGGGGTGGAGCCAACACAGAAAGTTTAAACACACACACTAAAAAGGCCTTGATTAAGTGAAGCTGCATGGGGTTGTATGTGTGTGTGTTTGCGTGTGTGTGTATAACTCTGTGCGTGCGTGCGTGTGTGTATAACTGTGCGTGCGTGCGTGTGTGTGTATAACTCTGTGCGTGCGTGCGTGTGCATGCGTGTGTGTGTATAACTCTGTGTGTGCGTGCGTGTGTGTGTATAACTCTGTGCGTGCGTGCGCGTGTGTGTGTATAACTCTGTGCGTGCGTGCGTGTGTGTGTGTATAACTCTGTGCGTGCGTGCGTGTGTGTGTGTGTGTGTGTATAACTCTGTGCGTGTGTGCGTGCGTGTGTGTATAACTGTGCATGCGTGCGTGTGTGTGTGTATAACTGTGCGTGCGTGCGTGCGTGCGTGCGTGCGTGCCTGCGTGCGTACCTGCAGGTCGTTCTGGGGGTTCCAGTCTGAGTCAAAGATGATGCAGGTGTCTGCGGCGGTGAGGTTGATGCCCAGCCCCCCCGCCCGCGTGCACAGCAGGAACACAAAGCGGTCCGAGTCTGGCCGGGAGAACCGATCGATGGCTGCCTGCCGCAGGTTCCCGCGCACACGCCCGTCGATGCGCTCATACGTGTATCTGAGGAAGAGAATGCACGTGAGGTTTCAGTATGAAGCCAGCAGAGGAAGAATGTTCTAGACTCAATGTTCTCTAGAACGCCCTGTTGTAAATCAGAGGATATGAACCTGTCCTGAACACTCTCAATGTAAAACACAATTCACTAGGGACACACACACACACACTTAATTAATTACTCACTCACTCACTCACTCACTCAGTAAAGACCACAAAGTGCTTGTATCCCTTCTCTAATTGTTTCAGTGGAAAACGTTGCCAAGCAATACACTGACATACACAACTTCTCTCTCCCTTTCTCCCTACTTCCGTCCCTATACCCCCCCCCTCTCGCTTTCTGTCCCTCCTTCCATCTGCATCTCTCCCACCCTCCCCTCTCCTTCTCTATCTCCCAATGTCTCACTCCATCTCCATCTCCCCTTCCTTCCTTCCTTCCTTCCTTCCCTCCATCCCTCTACCACTATCCTCTCCTCCCCCCTACCTCTCCCTCCCTCAATCTCCCTCCCTCCTTCCCCTCCACCTACTCCCATCTCCTCCCTCCCTCTTCCCCCTCTCCCTCATTCCCCTCCCTCCATCTCTCTCCCCCCACACCATCAACCACAACCGTCTCTGGATGAGGTGTTTAGTTAGCTCTGTGCTAGTTAGCTCACCGTCTCTGGATGAGGCTAGTGTTTAGTTAGCCAGTTAGCTCT